AGAATCATCTACCAAAAAATCAGGTAAATTTATAATTGAATAATTGAAGAAAAGAGAAAAAAATATCAGGGCTAGTTGGATATGACGTGGAAGAAATTTAGCAGTTTGCTTACTTCGGCGACTAAGGTTAAAACCGCCATGGTTATATAAATCCAGAAGGAATCCCAATCTAATAAGTGATGAAGTCTTCTTCCTCGTCTTCCTTCTCTCTTCTCTCTTCAATCAATCTTCCAGTTCCGGTGAGCGGCCTAGCTGAGGCTCTGAAATGTATGTGATATTTTGGAATCTGCTTATCGACGGCGAGAAAGTGACGGTGCGCGAGTGGGAGAAGGAGAGATAAAAATAAACCCAAAATAAAAAATCTGATTATTCACTTTTGAATTATCAAAAAAATCTGTTCGTATCTTTATCAAAATCGCCGTTTCCGGGCCTTCCAATTCCATATCTTCAGTAATTACGGGGGATAGATTCAAGGATTCTAATCCAAGCATCCAAAGAGATACCAGGCAAGAGTAATTTCTTCTTCTTCTTCTTCTTCGAGATTTAAATTGCAATTACCGCAATTTTCTCACCTGCTTCCGATTGTGGCGTGAGCAGAGCTTGTTGGAGCGGCGAAAATGGCGGCGAGAGTGACGAAGGCGATCTCCGGGATCGAGCCGCCGGCTCGGGCGACGCAGCACGGCGCTCAAGTCRTCGACGTGGAGTCCGTGAAATGCGAGTGCTGTGGATTGACGGAGGAGTGCACTCCGGCGTACATCGGTCGTGTTCGGGAAAGGTACGACGGCCGTTGGATTTGCGGGCTGTGTTCGGAGGCGGTGAAGGACGAGTCTCTCAGATCTCAGGGGAACATCACCACCGGCGAAGCCATGAAGAGGCACATGAAGTTCCACAAACAGTTCAAATCTTCGAATCCGCCGGTGAATCCTACTGAGGATTTGATTTCGGCTATGAAACAGCTTCTCCGGCGGTCGCTCGATTCTCCGAAGAACGACGCCTCGCGATCGCTAAGCCGTTCGAGTAGCTGTTTCTCCGCCATGCCAGGGCGGCGGAGCCATTACGATGATTAGATTAGAACGCCGTTCGTCACCGGCGGTTGAAATTCGTCGGTGAAACTGAAGAAACAATAAAACTCACCGCCTTCCTTCTCAAGCTCGTGGATTAAATTTGGGTCCTTAGTTTAGAGTTCGAATCTGTGAAAAGTTCTTGCTTAGGTTTTTTCTTTTGGATTTCTGTTGCTTATTTTTGAGAAAATTTACATATTGATTGATTCAGAGATCTCGAGCGAGATTTGAATTTTGCACTTGCATGACTTATTTTTATTTTTATATTAAAATCAAGTGCTACAATTGTTTGTTATTAAATTAAAGATGGCAATTAAGTAATGGATTGACAACCCAAATATTTGCTGCAACAGAAAAGATTGCATAATAGACTACCGAATAATGCGTCTTTGTATATTCCGAGTCTCAAGAGATGTTGGAGGCTAGAGGCAAACTTAAATTTCTCTTTGGGAATAATGTCAAATAAATTTCTCTCAAAACTTTTAAGGTGACATTTTTTTTCTCTCTTCAACAGTGGTTTAAAATAATTTCAAATAATTGATGGATGCAAAACAGATTCCTAACTCTTAAAGCTTAGTTATCAAATGGTTTTTGCTGCTTATTCAATCACCATCGTAACCACCGCACAATCATGGCCGCCAAATTGCCACGTTATGACCTTCTCCTCCCTCCCTCCTCTAAAGTTCTATAGTTCGGATTTTGTAATTAGTGACCAATAAATTGTCGATCCCTAATATTTTTTTTTAATATACAGCAAAGAGAAACAGAATAAGCAAAATAGTAAAACAGAGGGAACAATTCTTAGATAGAACGCACCCATATTTTTGCAAAATTGACCGCTCTTTAGTTTACAAAAAACAGAAAAAAAAGGTTATTATTCTTTTCTGAATTTCTACTCTCCTGTTTGCTGTAACTTTAATGGTGGTCGCCTTGGGAAAAAGTGAGCACAGAGAAACGTAAGTGTAGGTTCTTGCACTTAGAAAATGAAAAGTTCTACTCTATATTTGCATTGAAGTTAAAATTATTTGCAATCCACAACTTTTTTTTTAGCACGTGACATTAGTTTTTGGGTTTATCTTTTCAGGTAAATTTGGTGATAGTGATCAGTGGGGTTGGGATCTTAACATTCCTTCGAAACTCATCTCAAAATATTATTTTTGGAATGCATAATTTTACTCCTAAAGTTCAACTATAATATTAGAGTGAAACTAACTGTTAGGTGAATCAATAAATTAAGAAAAAAAAAATCCTAACATCTTTGGAAGTGTTTAGCAATAATGACCAAAAGTCATTCATGAATTTGAACCCTATATGTTCCAACAACCTGGTCAGGCATTAAACTTCAATCCATATCCTATAAACCCCAACCCCAACCACAACCGACATAGGGGGCTCTATAGCGGTCCTTCCAATCTCAACAAAATTTATGATTTACCCCCTAAAAGAATGCAGAAAAAACCACACCAAGTGCAAAATGCATCCAAACACAAACACAAACACATGGTATAAGTATAACTGAGAGAAGACTAGACGGCCAGAGAAGGGAACCATAACCGATAGAGTCCTGATCAAACGGCCCAATGCATGTGCTCTAGGCAAGTTAAGAAGGAAAAAGAAAAAAGAAAACCAGGGTTGAGGGTGGGGCCATGGAGTTGACAGTCCAAGGCAGTAGGCATTGGTGGTTGAAACACTCGTACCACTTGTAAACAATGAAAAATATGTCCAATCAATTAGTAGAAGAAAAAAGACAAGGGGTCGTTGGTACCAAGCACATGAAAAAGGCATCCACTTAGCCCCACCCCTCTCCCCACTCTTATTATGCCTCAAAAACCAACAATTTCTACGAGTGCAGACAAACTCAGCAAATTCAATTGAGTGATACAAAGGCCTGAGTCGATTTTGATCTTATCGCCAACGCCACG